GTACCCTCCACTGCTTCCCATCTCCATGGCAACGGTGCCGGAGCCGGGCCTGGTGTGGGGGGGAGGGACCAGACCAGACATTCTGGTTTCCGGCGCTGGGGTGGGAGTGGGGGAGAACAGGAGGGAGGCGGACCCCGTTCCGAGGGGACCCATCCTCATTAGGCTGCGGGGAGGACAGCAGGGACCCAGAGGTGACCCCCCCACCTCAGGACCCCTAGGCCCGCCCCTCACTTCTTGGCCTTCCTCCCAGCCCCTCAGTTCCCTTCAGAGTGGACCCTCCGATCCTTGGCAGGGCCGCCCACCCACCACCCTGTAGCGTCAGGCCCGAAAAAGGGCCACAGGTTACCCACGCCTGCCCACATCCACCCAGGCCACCACACCACTGTCACCTGGACAGCACTCCCCAGGCCAGCTTCCCCACCTGTCCACACACCCTCTCAGGATGCTCCACAGCCTCCAAAGGCCACCCCTTGGGGACATCCCGGCCGAGATGCCCTGCCCGGTGACACCCCCATCTTGGTGTCCCTCGCTCCCCTGAGACGGTCTCCACACACGTTGTCGGGCACACTCTAGTGAAGTCACTCATTCCCTCCCGCTCACAGACTCACCATGCCTCCGCCTCCCCCTTACTACACCTTGGCCTCAGCCTCCCCCCCCCCGCCCGGGTGAGGGGCCAGGCTGGGGCCAGGAGGGCAGCATGCCTGTCAGTGGGTCCACCTGTCTGTCCTTAGCTAATTTTAGCTGCATTTTCTGTGGCCTGGCAAAGTGGGCCAGTAGCTCCCGCGGTGATACTGCGGTTTCTGGGACACGGCCACGCTGGGTCACCGGCAAAGTGGGGCGCAGGGGGGGCGGGGGGTTGCAAGCAGGGCCAAGGGCAGGGAAGGAGACACACGCTGGAAGCATGTCAGGGACAGGGGCGTGTGTGCGCAGGAGGTGGCGGCAAGAGTGTGCCCTGCCTCCTTCCCACCGACCTCGGGGCAGCGGGGAGGCTGCCCTCGACCACAGGTCCTCAGAGGGGTCCCGGGTTCCTAGTCTGATGTCTGCCCTTGGCCCCTGCAGCCGCCTGTGATGCTGCTGTCCCCCGTCGCCCCGTGGCCCCACGATGACCCACAGCCCCGCCACAAGCGAGGACGAGGAACGCCACAGTGCCAGCGAGTGTCCCGAGGGGGGCTCAGAGTCCGACAGCTCCCCAGACGGGCCAGGGCGAGGCCCCCGGGGGACCCGGGACCGGGGCAGTGGGGCACCTGGTAGCCTGGCCTCTGTTCGAGGCCTCCAGGGCCGCTCCATGTCCGTCCCCGACGACGCCCACTTCAGCATGATGGTCTTCAGGATTGGAATCCCGGACCTGCACCAGACGGTGAGTGACTGCCTGCTGGCCGGCGAGGGGAGGGGAGGCCCAGAGGGGAGGTGTCCTCCCAGGAAGCCCCTCAGACCCCATGTCCACATGCTTCCCCATGCCCCCCGGCAGCCCCAGATTCCCAGCCCACCTGGGGCTCCTTCCTGGCCCCTGACCCAGCCTGTCCCCTCCCCCACCTGCAGAAATGCCTGCGCTTCAACCCCGATGCCACTATCTGGACGGCCAAGCAGCAAGTGCTCTGTGCCCTGAGTGAGAGTCTTCAGGACGTGCTCAACTATGGCCTGTTCCAGCCGGCCACCTCGGGCCGCGACGCCAACTTCCTGGAGGAGGAGAGGCTGCTTCGAGAGTACCCCCAGTCCTTCGAGAAGGGGGTGCCCTACCTGGAGGTGAGGCCGGCAGCCTTCCCCACCCTTTTGCTGACAGGAGGTGTGACCCGCAACCATCTGCCCCCTCCCCATTTCCCCCCCCCATGACCTTGATGAGGGAGGGCCCTGTTCCAGAACTAAGAATCACAGGAAAGAGTCCGAGAGGACTGAGCTCAAATGACCATCTGTTCTGCCTCTGATCAGCTGAGTGGCCTTGGACAGGTCACTTCTCTGTCCCTAGTTCCTCCCGGCCTGTCAAATCGGGGAAGGGGCCAGGTGTGGTGCTTCACGCTTGTAATCCCAGGACTTTGGGAGGCCAGTGCAGGAGGATTGCTTGAGCCCAGGAGTTCAAGACCAGTCTGGGCAACATCATGAGACCCTGTCACTACAAAAAAAAATCAAATATTAGCCGGTCATCATGGTGTCCACCTGTAGTCCCAGCTACTTGGGAGGCTGAGGTGGGAGGATCCCCTGAGTCCAGGAGGTCAAGGCTGCAGTGAGCTGTGAGCATGCCACTGCACTCCAGCCTGGATCACAGACCCTGACTAAAAATAAAAAATAAAAAAATTGTAGAAGGAATCCCAATGACAGTAGGCATTCTAAAACATTCCCCATAGGGTCCAGACTCCTACTCTTTCAAGGTAGGGGTTGTAGTACACGTACACCACGATGACTTTGGGAAAAGCCACCGCCACCTCTCTGCCCACCCAGCCAAGTGTTCCACTCCAACCTCAAGCTGATCCCAGACCTTCCCCTAACCCCAAGCCTCCTCTCCAGGCCCCTGAGTCCAAGTCTCTGTGTCTCTCCCCCTCCCCCACCTCTGGCTTCAGTTCCGATACAAGACCCGAGTTTACAAACAGACCAACCTGGATGAGAAGCAGTTGGCCAAGTTGCACACCAAGGTGAGTGGACCCTGCTGGCATTTGCCCTCAGAGCCCCCCCCACGGGAGCCCCCTGCCCAGCCATTCTCTCTGCCCACCTCTTCCTGACAGCCCTCCATGTTCCTCAGCCCCTCGATCCCACTGCTCCGCTTAACTTCGGATGCATGTCACACCTGGGAAACCCCAGATACCCCCACTATCCCCATGGAATCCCCTTCTTTCTTCCCTCCTGTGCCCCTCATCCTGTTGCCCAGGCCTTACTGTTTCTACCTGGCCCCTTTGACCCCCCTCTTTCCTTAAATCCCCCCTTATCCACCCAGGGCCTCTTTTCTTCCCCTGCTTGGCCTAGGACTCTGACGTGGGGTCCTTCTGCCTAGGGCCTGTTCCGTAGACAACCTGCAGTTCCGCCAGTCTCCTACTAAATCCAGGGCTCACTCCTCCCCTCCTGCCATATCTATCCTCCTTGGAACCTCGCCCTCCAACCCTCGAACCCCATCTCCCTCCGGTCTTCCATGGTCCCCTAAGAGCTGGGAGGATGTCAGGGGGATGCTTTGGTCAGAGGTGAAGGATCCTTGCCATTTGGGAAGCAAAGCCTCCTGATCCCTCCCTGCGCCGGGCTTCCCTGCTGTAGACAGTTCCATCCCTCCAGACTTATGGTCCACTTTGGGAACCACTGGCCACACCCGGCTCCTGAGGGCTTGTGATGTGGCAGGTCCCACCTGAGTCTGGGTGTGAATGTGAAATACACAACAGATTTCGGAGACTGAGTGCCAAAAAAAAAAAGTTATATATCTCATTGATACTTTTCATGCGGATGACCTGTTGAAACAGCAATACTGCTGATACATTCATTGGTCAAAGAACAGGTATCATTATGATGAATTTCAGCACTATCGGCAGGTCCCCTTTCTTGTTAAGGGTGGCTGCTACGAAAGAGTGTATGTGGCCACATGTGTATTTCGGTGGGACTGCGCTGCTTGGACCTCTACTTTGGGGCCTTGCTCCCTGACCTGTCTTGTCTCTCTCTGTCCATGGCTCAGACGGGGTTGAAGAAGTTTCTAGAATACGTGCAGCTCGGGACGTCCGACAAGGTGGCGAGGTTGCTGGACAAGGGGCTGGACCCCAATTATCATGACTCGGATTCAGGAGGTAGGGAGAGGGCACGGGTCAGGGAGGACCGAGGGGGCCGGGGCGGGGGCGGCGGGGTCAGGATGCCGGCCGCATCCCGCTCCAATCTGGGCCAGTGCCCATCCGTCCCAACATGGGAGTCTCCCAAGAGGGAGGCCCTGGCCTGAGGTTGTGGGGAGGAGGGCTGTGGAGGCTGGGCCATGGAAAGGGCTGGGGTGGAGATCAAGGGGTTGCATGTGACCGGCTTTTCTTGCCCTCCAGAAACCCCCCTAACACTGGCGGCCCAGACCGAAGGCTCTGTCGAGGTGATTCGAACCCTGTGCCTGGGCGGGGCCCACATCGACTTCCGGGCCCGGGACGGCATGACCGCCCTGCACAAGGCCGCGTGTGCTCGGCACTGTCTCGCGCTCACGGTGAGGCTGCTGGGAGCCCCCCCTCCACCCCCACCAGGGACCCCTCTTCTCTTCCCTTTGTTCTTTCTCAAGACCCAATTACTGGGTTTTTGTTCAAAACAGGCTGGGTGCGGCGGCTCACACCTGTAATCCTAGCACTTGGGAAGGCCGAGGTGAGAGGATTGCGTGAGGCTAGGAGTTCCAGACCATGGGGGACCCTGTCTCTACCAAAAAAAAAAAAAAAAGTCAAAAAATTGGCTGGGCATGGTGGCGTATGCCTATAGTCCCAGCTCCTCTGGAGGCTGAGGTGGGAGGATTGCCTGAGCCCAGGAGGTGGAGGCCGCAGTGAGCCGTGATCATGCCACTGCACTCCAGCCTGAGACCCTCACTCAAAAAAAGGCTCTCTTCATTTCTCCAGTGCAGAGAAGTGAGCTATAGACAGACAAATGCATAACCCCTGTTGTGACTCCTTGGACAGAATCAGAGACCCTCCTCTGGCCTCCAGGGGTGCCCACCTGGGTGGCAGCTGGCCATCACAGGGATCCGAGCAGAGCCTCCTCCCCTGAGCACCCAGAACGTCTCCGTTCCCTGACCCAGCTCAGATACCAACCCTGCCTCTGTCTCCCCAAGGTGTCAACCCTCCTTGTCGTCCTTAAAATAGAGCAAGTGCCCTGCCATGCCCCAGCTAGAACCCCCCCCCGCCACGCCCTGAAAACACCCCTGTGGCTACCTTCCCAAGCCCAGCACCAAGTCACCCAGACACACTCCCTCGGCTCTTCCATGCAAATACAGCCCCCTCCTCTGGTACAGAGCCTCAAATGCACTTTCCCAAATAGACAAACCCACACACCCACAAAATACATACACAGAGTCAGCTTGCACGGTCTTATTTTAAAATACTCTCCTTCTCCCCCGTCCCCCGCCAAGGCACGTGACTCCCCGCCATGCATGGGTCAGGAGGGGCTGCCCCCCAAGACAGCCATTGAGAAACACCACGCCTTAGTGCACAGAGGCTCTCCCTGAAAGGCCCCTCCCTGCCCTCTTTCAGACTCTTTTGTTTTTTAATTTGGGGTCTCACTATGTTGTCCAAGCTGGAGTGGGCAGTGGTATGATCACGACTCACTGCAGCCTCCACCTCCTGAGCTCAGGCAATCCTTCCTCCTCGGCCCCTTGAGTAGCTGGGATTACAGATATGCACCACCACGCCTGGCTGATTTTTTTATTTTTTATTTTGAAGAGATGGGGATCTTGCTGTGTTGCCCAGGCTGGTCTTGAGCTCCTGGGCTCAAGCGGTCCGCCTGCCTCAGCCTCCCAAAGTGCTGGGATTACAGGCATGAGCCTCCATACCCTGCCTCCAGACTCTTTCTTGAGAGGCAGTCAGACGCCAGTGACAAAGTTCTGCCTTAAGCCCTGGGATCCACAGACCCTTTTCTTGTACCCACAGTGTACGCTCACCCCGAAACCCACACCCTGCTCACCCCCACACCTAGCCTCTGGAACTTTGCTTGTTGAACCCTGCTTGTGGAACCCTTCAGCCACTGGCCACAGGGGGCTGTTTAAATGTAATGAAAATGAAGTGAAGCCCACTCAGTGGCTCAGCCTGTAATCCCGTGCTTTGGGAGGCTGAGGTGAGTGAATTGCCTGAGCCCGTGGGTTCGAGATCCATCTGGGCAACTTGGCGAGACCTCATCCCTACGATAAATAAAAAAATCAGCCGGGTGTGGTAGCGCGCGCCTGTAATTCCGGCTACTCGGAAGGATGAGGCAGAAGGATCACTGGAGTCCAGCAGGTCGAGGCTGCGGTAACTGGGAGCGGCCACTGCACTCCAGTCTGGGCGACAGAGTGAGACTTCAACTAAAAAAAAAAAGAAAAGAAAAAGGAAAAAAAGAAAATGAAGTGAAATTAAAATTTCCCTTCCTCGGGCTCCGTGGCCACATCCCAGTGCCTGTGACCCACACGTGGCCACCACAGAGCGTGACTCAGTCGCAGACCGTCTCCATCATGGCGGAACATTCTGTTGGCCGGTGCCGCTGCAGGCTGTCCTCACATGGGACTACCACCAACATGTTCTCCCATGAACGCTCGGTGCTGCCAGCCTTCTGTGCCCGGAGCGATCCCTCAAGTGATGCTACTTCCTGTCCCCTGAGTCCCCAGCCCCAAGGAGGCCGCTCGATCCTTCCCTCAGCCCAGGCTTCAAGCGCACCCCTTCCCAGGCTTCCCACGTGCCCTGTCTTTGGGATCCTGGTCTTAGTAACCCGTCCCCTGCTTGGCCACGGGCCCTCCTGAGCCCAGACTTGCTTGTCCTCTCATTTGTCCCCCACAGCTGTCCTGAAGTAGGTGAGGTAGGCAGGTCCTGTGGCCCCTGATGTCCTTCGAGGCCATCCCTGGGGGAAAGGTGAGGCAGGATGTCAGAGTGGGAGGGCTTCCTGGAGGCATCCTCCCTGTCCCCTTATTGTTCACACGTGATCAGAACGGGCCAGGGGAGGGGAAGGGCCAGGCTCAAGGTCGCACAAGGGTGTCATGGCAGAACTGAGACTGTCCGCCTGCCTTCAGAATGAGCCAGTTCACACGTGACTGCCCTCTGTCTTTTCTTCCTGGTCTCTCTGCTCCCAGGCCCTCCTGGACCTCGGGGGCTCCCCCAACTACAAGGACCGCCGGGGGCTGACCCCTCTGTTTCACACGGCGATGGTGGGCGGCGACCCCCGCTGCTGCGAGCTTCTCCTCTACAACAGGGCCCAGCTGGGCATCGCCGATGAGAACGGCTGGCAGGAGATTCATCAGGTGCGCCCGGCTTGGCCAAGAGGGGTGGGACCGAGTCCTCACACGGGCCCTTGCCGAGAGCGGGGTTGGGTTTTGCGTGGTCCCCAAGGAGGAAAAAAATAGGGATGCTGGACCCTAAGGGGACACAGGCTAGGAACTAGACACCTTCACCCCAGAGATGGGTGGCTGGCCTCAGGGCCCTCTTACGGGGCCGGACCAGACTCCTGGGCCTTGGGAAGACCGGTCAGGCCGACAGCCTGGGTCCCTGGGCAGGAACAGGAGACGGGAGGTGAGTGCGGGACTGCCTGGACTCAAGGTGAAGACAGATGCTTGGTCCCAAGGGGAAGCCACCGGAGAGGATACGGGCCCGGGTCTGATCCAGTCCCCTCACCCCCGTCCCCCAACCCAGGCCTGCCAGCGGGGTCACTCCCAGCACCTGGAACACCTGCTTTTCTACGGGGCTGAGCCTGGAGCCCAGAACGCCTCGGGGAACACGGCCCTGCATATCTGCGCCCTCTACAACAAGGTCTGCCCTGGCATCACCCGCCCCAGGCCCTTTGCCAACTTCCTACCCAACCACACTCAGGCGGCCTCCCAGGCTCCCAGCCTGTGCTCCTTCACTGGCCCTATGTAGTCATCCATTCGTCGATCCATTCACTCATTCATTCATTCAGCAATTTGTTACCAAGGTCCTTGGCTGTGTCAGGCCCAGAGCTAGGCACTGGAGACAGAGTAATGAGCTTGTGGCCTGGTGGGGAGGAGAGGGAGACAACAGACCTTGCCACCACAATTCAGAGTGCTCAGAGCGAAGCCACGGGGAATCCAGGTCCCACATCTGGGCTTGGGCTTGGCTTGGGGTGGAGGTGTCTCCCTGGAGGAGGCGCCCCCTGTATTAGGACAGGCAGGCTTTGGCCGAGTGGGGGAGCTGCTCAGGCAGAGGGCACAGCCTGTGCAAAAAACCAGGGGGCACGGAGGACTTCCTTTTTTTTTTTTTTTTTTGAGTTGAAGTCTCACTCTGTCGCCCAGACTGGAGTGCAGTGGCCGCTCCCGGCCACCGCCGCCTCAACCTGCTGGGCTCCGGCAATCCTTCCGCCTCAGCTTTCCACGTAGCTGGAACTACAGGTGCGCGACCACACCCGGCTAATTTTTTGATTTATTGTAGAGATGAGGTCGCGCCAAGTTGCCCAGGCGGGTCTCGAACCCGCGGGCTCAGGCAGTCCACTCACCTCAGCCTCCCAAAGCGCGGGATTACAGGCTGAGCCACCGAGCCTGGCAACAGAGGACTTTCACGACAGCAAGTGAAGGGAGTTCAGTGGGCCCCAGTCTCCATGTGTCCCCATTTGCCTGGTCCCGTGTGAAAGTCCCGTGTGGGAGCATGACAGGGAACAGAGGAAGGGCTACAGTCCAGCCCCCGAAGTAACGAGTGGGTTGGGAGTCTTAGCGATTCAGGGCCAGGGGGATGCATGCCCATGTCGGGGCCCCCAACAGACACGGGCAGGAAAGGGAGGGCCGGGGTCTCACGTAACCAGCTGTGGCGTCTGCCTGCTAAGAGCTGGGGTTTTCGGCGTCACAACCCCTGCCACCGCTGCCATCCAAGCTCCAGGTGATACCAGGCAAGTCAGCACCCCCAGCCCCCCCCACCCACCCCAGGAGCCTCAGTTTCCCCACGGGTTTCTTTATTCTCCCTGCCCTTGAAGGGCTGCTGCGGGGATGTGACGGGGCTGGTCTGTCAGCCCCCTTCCTCCAGGAAGTCTTCCAACACAGCCCCCAGCCCCTTCTGCCTCATCAGAACTTGCCGTGCTGAGGACTTGGCAGGTGGCCACGTGCCGCCTGGTGGAAGCCAGCAGTATGCTCACGCCCCGGAGGACTCGGTGTTTGTCAAACCAAAGCAACATGGTGCCGGCTCTTCCCTCCCTGCCTGTTTCTGTCTCCCCTGCTCTCTGCCACGGCCACAAAATCAGTTCCTCTGACCTGGTGCCCTTGTGCAGACAAGAGAGAAAAAGCCCCAGCCCACAGGCAGAGGGGAGTGAGAGTCTCTCCCCTTCTCTGAGACTCCATCCTTCTCCCGGAAATAGGAGTAACGTCAGCCGATTGAATGGGGTGAGCGATCACATACGTTAAGTACTCATCCCTAGAAGGCGGCCATAAGAATAATTGTCACTATCATCATTACCAGTGTCAGTCAGGGTCCAGTCAGGAGACAGAAGCCATCCCATCCATTTATACAGGGAACATTTAGTCTAAAGAATTAGACAGCAGTCGTTTCCCCTCCTGAAGTCTCCCCTCTCTCGTCTGTGAAATAGGTCAATAATTAACACCCACCCTGCGGCTGGGCGCGGTATCTCACTGCCTGTCATCCCAGAACTTTGGGAGACTGAGGCCAGAGGATTGTTTGAGCCTAGGAGTTCAAGACCAGCCCAGACAATCTAGCGAGACCGCATCTCTACAAAAAATTAGCCGGGTGTGGTGGTGCCTGCATGCCTGTAGTACCCGCTACTTGGCCGGCCGAGGTGGAGGTTGCCTGAACCCAGGAAGTTGAGGCTGTGGTGAGCCTTGATTGTGCCACTGCACGTCAGCCTGGGCAACAGAGTGAGACCCCAACTCAAAAAAAACCCCACCGTGCTAAAGGATCTGGTGGCTTAATGTCTTGCTTGCTCTTGGCACGGTGTGTAACACATAGATGCCCAACTAACACGAACCTGTGGCAACAGTTATCTTGAAACAGTTGTCTCCCCTCCTCTTCCTCCCAGGCCGTAAATTTCCCCAAGAGCCAGGGCTGGGCCTGACAGTCCCTCCCCCTGCTTTCTGCTCCCCAGGTCTCTAACCCCTGGCGGTGAAAATCAGGTCCATGTCCAGGCTGTGAACTCCTCGAGGGTAGGGGCTGAGTCTGAGACCCCAGCACACAGCAGGCCTCCACACATCTTTGTTGAATGAGCAAATGAATGAGTGAATGAATGATGGGTCAGCCCTCTTGGATTTCCGCCAAGACTGTGCACAGTCCCACTGGTTTCAGCAGATGAATGAATGACTTGAACAAATGCATTTGGATGGACTCAACTCCATCCTGTCTGTGCACGTTTCTTGAGCACCTACTGTGTGCCCCGGCGCCAAGCGCTGGGGGACGTGAGATGAGACAGACCGGGCGGCTCCTGCCCTGGGGAAGGCGGGTGGGGAGGAATTCACAGTCTGGCGGAGAGGCAGACGTGTAAACAATTTGATGAGATAAGTGCTAGGATGCCGGTAAACACGCGGCGCTCTCAGCGCCCAGCAGAGGGCACTATGAACCGGTGCTGGCTGGTGAGGTAGGGACCGTGGGATGGCCCTGTGGCCCCCCAAGGTGAGGGCTGGGGGTGTGAAAATATGCAAAAATGCACATGGCAGTAGTTAACAGTCTAGTTGGGGGGCCACCGTGAGCCTCACAGGCGCACACACGCAAACACGCCCGGAACGCTAAGTGGGATCATTCAGCTGTCCCCTGAGTGGCTTTGGCAGTCGGAGTCCTTCATTCATGAGACAGCTGGGCTGGGCGCCGCGGCTGATGCCTGTAATCCTAGCACTTAGGGAGGCCCAGGCGGGAGGATCGCTTGAGCCCGGGAGTTTGGGGACAGCCTGGGCAACCTGGCGAGACCTCGTCTCTACAAAAAACAAAAGAATTAGCCAGGCATGGTGGCATGCACCTGTAGACCCAGCTGCCGGAAGGGCCGAGGCGGAGGATTGCCTGAGCCCGGGAGTGCAGGACCAGCCTGGGCAACCTAGCGAGATTTCATCTCTACAAAAAACAAAAAAATTTAACCACGTGTGGTGGCATGCACCTGTAGTTCCAGCTACTTGGGGGGCCAAGGAGGGGGGATCGCTTGAGCCCAGGAGTTGGAGGCTGCGGTGAGCTGTGGTCGTGCCACTGCAGTCCAGCCTGTGTGACAGTGAGACTCTGACTCAAAAAATAAAAATAGAACAAAATAGTAAGAGACAGCTGAACAATAGGATCAGAAGGCCAGGTTCAAGTCCTAACTGCTCCACTAGCTGGCTGTGTGATCTTGGGCACAGGATCTGCCCGCTCTGAGCTTGTCCTTAGGACAGCCCTATACAAGCATCCTAGTGGGTTTGTCATGCAGGGGAGGTGAGATCAGGGAGTCGCTTGGGGAGTGTTGGTTAGATTAGCATTGGAGGACGCTGGTGGAGTGGAGTTGGGGGCCGAGTTCGATTTGGCCAGGCCAAGCCATGGGGACCAGACATTCCCCCTATGGAACAGTCTCTGCGGGTCCAGTGCTCATTCCAGGTGATGGAATTTATGGCATAGAGGGGAAGAGAGGCTAAGGGGCAGATAACAAAAAGTGGAACTTCAGGAAGATGGTGTCATGAAGAAAATGAGTGCTAACATTGGCTTAGGCTGCCTGGCACCTACGAGCATCCTATGGAAAAAAAGAACAAAGCACGGGACAGGACAAGGGGGTTGTTTTAGCATTTAAAGAGGTGGCCTTTGAGCAAAAACCTGAAGTAAGGAAGCAAGCCGCGCCGAGATCCAGGGGTGAGAAATTCCCAGAAGAGGGAGCAGCAGGTGCAAAGGCCCTGGGGCAGGAGCATGCCTGTCAGAGGAAGGAGGCGGCCAGTGTGGCTGGAGCATGGGGAGCGGGGACTGGGTGGTGGAGGATGAAGCTGTGGAAGGTTGGGATAGGGTGGCAGGGTAGGCCGGTCAGGCGAGCTCAGCTCACCTCTGCCCTTCTGGGCCATGACAAGGCTGCTGGGCTTAGCCCAGAGAGTCAGGAGGGGCAACATGTGATTGAGAAACTGACCTGGATGGAGACGGCACCCCCGCCCCCACTGCCTCCACCCTGTCCTCCATGACGTGCACCCGTTCCTTCTGGGCCTGGCAGAGTGTGTGCTTGAGATCAAAGGCTTTGGAGTCGGGCGAGCCTGGGTTCGAATCCCATCACCGATGGTCACCAACCATGTGACCTTGAGCTCCTGGGAAAGTTTTTGTTTCCTCCTCCGTAAAACAGGGACAGTCATTTTCATCTCACGGAACGGTTGGGCTTCCGCCTCTGAAGTGCCAAGTTCACGGGGTTTGGACTGGGAGTTCTCAACCCGGGCGCCTCTGCCCTGTCCGCATGGGGGACCCTTGGTGGTGTCTGGAGACGAGTTGGGCTGTCAGGACTGGGGAAGGGCGTGCTACTGGCATCTAGTGGTAGAGGCAGGTAATGCTGTCCAACAGCCCGCGGTGCCCAGCGCACCCCTCCCTGGCACCCCGAAAAGCTCCCCCAAGAATGATCTGGCCCCAAGTGCCCGTGACACAGAGGTTGAGAAACCCTTGTCCGGATCATTGTTGTCCACTGGAATAAGCATGAGCCACATTCCCTGGAAGTCCTGAAACAGCCTAGTGGCCATTTTTTTTTTTCTCGAATTGTAGTCTCACTCTGCCGCCCAGGCTGGAGTGCAGGGGCACGCTCACGGCCACCGCAGCCTCGACCTGCTGGGCTCCGGTGAGCCTTCCGCCTCAGCCTTTCAGGCAGCTGGAACCACAGGCGTGCACCACCACGCCCAGCTAATTTTTTGACTTATTGTAGAGACGAGGTCTCGCCAAATTGCCCAGGATGGTCTTGAGCCTGTAGGCTCAGGCCTCCGCCTGCCAAAGTGCTGGAATTGCAGGCGTGAGCCACCACACTCGGCGGCCATGGTTTAAAGAAGGAAAAAGCAGCTGGGTGCGGTGACCATACTTGTAACCCCAGCACTCTGGGAGGCCAAGGCAGGTGGACTGCTTGAGCCCAGGAGTTTGAGACCAGCCTGGGCAACATCGCAAGATCTCATCTCTATAAAAAAAAAGTTAAAAAATTAGCCATTCAGAGTAGCACATGCCTGTGGTCACAGCTACCCGGGAGGCTGAGGTGGGAGGATTGCCTGAGTCCAGGAGGTCGAGGCTGCAGTGAGCCATGATTGTGCCACTATACTCCAGCCTGGGTAACATAGTGAGACCCCAACCCAACAAAAAAAAAAAAGGAAAAAAAAATTAGGCGACATTCATTTTAATAACATATTTTACTTAACCCAGTGTATCCAAAATACTGTCATTTTAACATGGAATGAATATCAAAATTATCAGAAATATTTAAATTCCCTTTTATTTGTGTGACATCCTTGAAATCCAGCGTGTCTTCTACCCGACTGGTGCATCTCCGACTGCACCAGCCATATTTAAGGTGCTCGTGTGCCTCGTGCTGCCCTGAGCAGGACACGTTTATGCTGGGGTGTTTATTCCTGGTCTGGCGCGGTGGTTCATGCCTGTACACCCAGCACTCTGGGAAGCCAAGGTGGGAGGATCGCTTGAGCCAGGAGTTTGAGAGCAGCCTGGGCAACAGAGCAAGACCTCATCTCATAAAATAAAATTAAATAAAAAATTAGTCAGACTTGGCCAGGCTTGGTGGCTCAGCCTGTAATCCCAGCACTTTGGGAGGCCAAGGCGAGTGGACTGCCTGAGCCCGCAGGTTCGAGACCAACCTGGGCAACTTGGCGAGACCTCTTCTCTACAATAAATTAAAAACTAGCTGGGCGTGGTAGTGCACGCCTATAGTTCCAGCTACTTGGAGGGCTGAGGCGGAAGGATCGCCAGAGCCTAGCAGGTCGACGCTGGGGTGGCCGTGAGCGTGTCACTGCACTCCAGCCCGGGTGACAGAGTGAGACTCCAACTCAAAAAAATAAAAATTAGCCAGACTGTAGATTCCTGAGGTCTCAGCCCAGTGCCTGGGGCGTCCCATGGTGACCCTAGTTGTTTATTTCTCCTCTTCCTGTGCCATCGGCCATGGCCCTCAGGAGACCTGTGCCAGAATCCTCCTCTATCGAGGGGCCAGCAAGGATGTGAAGAACAACAATGGACAGACCCCCTTCCAGGTGCGGGGCTGCAGGGCTGGGGGTGGGAGTGACGGTAAGACAGAGGGGATGAGGAAGGTGGGATGCTTAGGCGTGTGGGAGCCGGGCGGGTGGGCGGCAGAGGCAGGAGGGCAGAGGTGTGGGGGGCGAGAGGCTTGAGTGCGCCCCGGGGTCCTCAGTGTTGCCTGGCCTCTCTGTTTCCTGCCTGGGCCCCTTCCTTCCCGGCCGGCCGCCCTCTCCTTCCAGGTGGCCGTGATCGCTGGGAACTTTGAGCTGGGGGAGCTGATCCGAAACCACCGGGAACAAGACGTGGGTGAGTGAGCTGAGGCAGTTGGGGTTCCCGTGGGACTGGGGGCTTGGGGAGCTGATGGGGAGCCAGCCCTGGAGGACGGAAAGCTTGCCCTCTCTCACCCGTCTTTCTCCCTTGTGCCCCTCCCCCGCCGTCTTTCCTTGCGTGGCCCCCGCCCACCTCTGCCTCGCCTCCCACCTGTCCTCCCCCCACGGTACCCTCCCAGTGCCCTTCCAGGAGTCCCCCAAGTATGCGGCCCGGCGGCGGGGACCCCCGGGCGCAGGGCTGACGGTGCCCCCGGCGCTGCTGCGAGCCAACAGCGACACCAGCATGGCGCTGCCCGACTGGATGGTGTTCTCCGCCCCGGGGGCCTCGTCCTCCGGGACCCCTGGCCCTACCTCAGGGTCACAGGGCCAGTCGCAGCCCTCGGCCCCCACCGCCAAGCTCAGCAGTGGAACCCTCCGAAGTGCCAGCAGCCCCCGGGGTGCCCGGGCCCGCTCCCCATCCCGTGGGAGGCACCCCGAGGAGGCCAAGAGGCAGCCCCGAGGACGGCCCAGGTAGGGGAGGACGCAGCCCCGTCCCCCCGTCCCCAGCCCTGCTGAACCCCCTCCTCAGAGCCGCCACATCCCCGAGGCCGGCCCAGCCGCCCGTCTCCTGCGGTCCGTCCCCAAGGCATCAGATATTAGCTCACGTGGGCTTGTGCCAGGGGCCTGAGGCAGCAGGCGTCCCAGAGGGCTGTCGGTTCCAGCCCCCGGGGCACGCAGAATGACAGGGTGAGGCGGGAGGATGCCGGGCAGGAAGAGGGCTGTGGGGGTGGCGA